TACTCACTCCACCGGCTACTGGGTCTGAATCACTCCTTATGCCATCTGTGGGTGAGGTTCTTGTTGACAGGTGGTGGATGGGGTCTCCCATCCAGCCTGCTAATTTGACTTTTCTTAGATCCCATTTCCTTCCTCTCCATTGGTGTTCATCACATCACCGTCTCTCGTGGAGGTGGTTTGTTGCACCTCATCTAATCACCCACCGTGAATCGTAAACATTGAAATTCCACTCTCATTAACTGCAACACCCTGAGATGATCGAATTGCGTTTGCTTTATAGAGGAAGGCAAAGGGCGAAGCCTGTTAATTCGCTGTTGTAGTACAGGCCTCGATTGCATAGTGTACCATAAAATGGCGTTATTTTTTGCATAAAATTAACCAGACCGTTTCCACTCTTGTCACTTTTACCTCATCAAGCCCTTCTCATCCTCCTCCCCTTCCTTTCAGTTCCATTCTTTTCCTACTCTCCTTCCTTCTCTTCCTCCCAATGATCCATTTACCTCCTAACCTAATCGGGTCTAATCTACTTTTTTCTTCCTTGAAAATGAGTTTGGTTTTTTTTGCCTCAGAATAAATTCGCCTCTTGTTCTCTCCTTCCTCATTCTTGTTTCCTGTCTGCGTAAGAGGGCATCCCAGTCGCCATATTGTTTAAATTTAGACCTCATTTAGCCATTTTTCTTTCACAATGACAGTTCATCGCATTCCCTCATTCTTCCTGGTTATTAAGTGGTAGAAAATTTTGGTCACAGAAAGTCTAAATCTCACTTTGGGTTGGGTCTGATTTGCCTTGGAAGGAAAAGCTTGAGCTGGTGCCTGATTGGTCAGCGTGAAGGTCATTTGGTCTTTGCACACACACGCACACATGCCCACCTTCTGGCGCGTTGCCAGTGTTGCATATCTTTTGACCGGCTCGTTGGAGTGTCACCACTGAAGATGTCTTACTCGAATGGCGACACTAACCAACACCTTTTCTCGTCATTTCTGTGGTTTGGGCACAAAATCGTTGGATGAAGTGCGGGTGGCCTCGACGAATTTTTAATTGAGCCATGAGATGTGTCTCATGCAGCTGGCTAGGAATACGATGGTTTCCTACCTAATAAACAAACAATTTTGCATCGCAATTCAGTTTTCCTTTAAAATCAGTGATGGATTTTGTTTTTACCCCCTTAAACCGTATGACAGTTTAAGCGCTGAACAGCTGGAGTTGGGCTACGTGTTCTGATGCTATGGCTGCAGCTACGATTGAATGTTGGGCGTATTTGAGCCGTCTACAACACTCGAATATCTTGATGCCAATCAGCTGAGTGTTTTGAGGTGGCATTCTGGCTAGCGATGACCGATGGATCAGTACGTTTACGCCTCTTTTTGGGTGAGTAAGGCAGCGCCTAATGACTGTTGTCCCCTTTTATTCTTAGCAAAGTAAGTCTGGGAGAGAGAGACCGATTTATCTTCGAGCATCTTCTTCATTCTTCACTCTTTAGGCCTGATACGGTCTCCACTGTCACCACATCGGCAGCCGCCGTTGATCGACGTTTGCGGCTGGGTGAGCACCACTCCTTTGACTCGACTTTGTCTGGATCTGCAAACGTCGCCACTGTCCCCTCCTCCACTTCGCATCGTCGATGGTCCACCTCCAGTCCTACCAATAACGTCTGTCTTTCCGATGGAATCACTTCTTTCGATGGACGTCTTGCTCCTAATGCTCAGGTTGACCATCTATCTGTCATGCTTCAGCTGCCTCGTTTAAACTTGATCTCTTTTAATGCGTATTGTTTTAATGCTTAAATTTCTCTTTCAATTCAAGGTGATGTTATAAGAGATCCTTCAGAGGAAGGCTTTGTCACATATCAGCACTCTGTGAAGCATCGGATTCACTGCTGGTTAAAAGTCATCCAGTTATACTCTCTCGCCTCTTACAGGTGCAGCATCCAATCGCCATTCGAGCCAACCCGGTTCAGATGGGTGGAGGAACGTTGACAGGCGCTGCTCGTGCACCCACTCCACCCCCCAGGGCTCGAGCTAAGACGATGCCCTCGGACACTGTCATTTGCCCTCCTGTAAGTCTCATCTACACAATGGCTAACACTCTCAAACCACATCCTTTTTCACACCAGTTACAAGTTTTTTTTCCCACCGATTTTAGTCTTTTTTTATCCCTTTAGAGACATTAAACTCGAGTGACTCAAATGTGCTCTAAAATTGTTTATCTACTGCCACATTCCAAATAACTTCAGTCTGTCTGTCTGGCTCTTTTTCTCTCCCTCTCTTGCCTTGGCGCGACGGCCCATTTTTGTTGTCTCCTGTTCCGGTGCCTTGAGAGGGCCGCAAGATCTCCAGCAATTAGGCGTAAACTTGTCTAGTAGAACAAAATTTACGAATTTGAAACCTTATTCGCTTATTGCATGCGTATTAGGCTAATCGTTTCTCATTGCTAGTGTAACCTCTCTGCTCTGTTGCCGCAGTCGGCTCACACTTGAGGGGAAGCACGGCCTAGCTCCGCCTTTGTATGGCTTGCAATTAAGTCTGCACTGGGTGCAGTGGTTTACCATCGCCAAATTCTGCGAAATTTTAATACATAGCCTGCACCACCTGTAGCACTGATGCAGTGAGTGCTCTAATAAACTGGATGTTGGAAGTGGTTGAGTGGTTGCACTCACTTCCACCTTGACAGTTGCTTTGGTGTGGATTTATCCGCCTGGTCCTCACCTCCGACCATGGCTCATTCGCATTCTCATCCCCTTGCTTCCTGCTCCATGAAATTTGCACCTCCTCGTAGGGCATGCTGATGCAAGCTATGATGTGACCTACCACCATCTTACACATCAAAATGTCTCCCATCTTAGCTGTTCAAGAGGCGTCATTGGTGTGATAGGTGGTCCGAGCCCTCGTCAAAGTCGAGTAATGCATGTATTCACGTGTGGACAGAGGTGGATGTGGTGTGGTGAAGGCACTCTTTCCACCTCCTACTGCACCAAACGCTTTGAGCCATTCTTAGTACTTCATTCCCAGTT